CATTCACACTTTGTTGTTATGTGATTGGTCTGTGCAGCCATATGGTTCAACAGAGCGTAAGCAAACCACAAACACAAAAGGAAAGGAGCGTGACATCCCCATAAACTGACCCAGAGTTCAAAAGCTTTAAAAGTAAGCCAAAGTATAAATTTTTCTCATATAAAAATGTTCTTCACTGCTAATGCTTTGTGTAGTTTGAGATAATTTAAACTGACTCAGAGGGCCAAACAACATAAAAAGAAAACCTCACCCGAGTTGAGTTAAAAAAAAATAATCAAATCAATATTCTCGCTTATCCTGGGTTAGCTTTATCAGGGCTTTAACAAGCCGGCTAAGGAGCTCCGCTCCCAGGCCTGTAGCACTTGTAAAGAGTGGTTGTAATGAACCATCAAAATCTGAGTCCGACGAAATGAAATTGTTAAAATGTCCTACAGCATGGTTTCAAATCAAGAACACTGCTATAACTCCTGTTTAAGAAATGTTGCTGGAGCGACTTAACAAGCACCTTCAAAAGTTCAAATTTAGAAAACGTGATGGAAGTTTCTGAAAGAAAAAAAGACTCTTACTGAAATTTCGCAATTCACTACAGCATGAATTTTTCGGGCAGCAGCTTCCATCAAAAGTTGAGAAGACTGAACTGAAGTGACGTTTTCGAAAAATCAACGAGTTGGCCACTTTTCCTCGCTGTGTTTGCCGTTTTGTAAATTAACAAAATGCACTTGCAGAAAACACGTTTTGATTTCTCTTGTTCACGATCACCTGATGAACCAGGTGACTTTTCTTTGACTGCTGCACGTTTTGCACGCGAATTTACTTTCGAAAGATTTTCAGTTTTCTGAGTCAATTTTTGGCGGTATTTTTTTTTACTGGTTTGGTTCATAATAAAACAGTTATCCCCCTCTGTGTCGGTGGCTAGTGGAGGATATTGAATTTGCTGTTTCGAGTTCGCAGCTTGTTAAACTATCCACAAGTAGCTGGGGGATAATTGTTCAGTAACCGAAGCTCGACTCAGTGTAACTGGAGTGCTAACAGGATTGCCACTTATGATACCCAGAGTGCTTTTTTATAACTAAAGTGGTGTCTAATCGGCGTGTATTTAGCTCGGTGATATTCTTGTATTTACATGTTGCTAGTAAATGAGTAAACGTTGCCATTTTATACACCACCTCCAGCCACTACACACTTGTAGTCATTAGTTATAGTTCGCCACTAAATTTCCTCCAATTGGAGGTTTGGATACCCGGTCTTAATTAGCATAAATTTTGACGATTTTACTTCTCCGTTTACTCCTTAGCTTTTGTTTCGATGAACTCTCTTCTCGGTGTTTGGATATGAAACACTGTCTCTCGTGTTTGATATGTTGCAATTTTCGCTCAAACGCGATTGGTCTAAACGTGTCACGTGACTGAATATTCCTCAGCTAAAACTGGGGAATATCCACGTGATATTCTCCAATTTTCAAAACCGCGCGTGTTGCGAAAAATATTTGAAGGATAATAAACACAATAGTCTCCATTTGGCGCGAATATATATAAACAATAGCCTCCATTTGGCGCGAAAATATGCTAGGATATTTGTCCGTGGACATTATCTGTTCCAAGAA